CAGGCAAGTGGAAGGTCACCCTCATCGAGGGCCAGGCAGTGCGTCACAAACGAGCAGTTCAACTCCCGGAAGTTACAGAGAAGGAGATAGAGAATCTTCAAGGATAGCGAGTATACGACGTCTACTACGACATGCGTTGGCAGTCGTGGGAGATCACCCACGCGTGACATATATGTACTGATGAATGTGTGATGAGGAGAAAATGAGCGTTGCTTGTGCGTTTGCAGCTCCTCACTCGTCTACCTCCAGCTTCTTCGATAAATCTCGAAAGCACAATAGTTTTCACAGTAGCCTAGCAAGCCAGCCAGATGTTAGAAAAGCATTGTTGCATGTCTTACAGAAGCTATCTAGTAGAGCTACGCTGTATCTTTAAACAGCTGTGAATCGCTCCACGCTCCGCTGTGTTACCTAATAGCGAAGACTGATAGGTTTCTAGTGGTCTCAAAAGAGAGCATCATGACTCCCCAGGGGGGTTCTGGGCAGATGCCGGACGGGTGCCGCGGAAAACCGGGGACTCCATTTTTAGCCAACTGTAGGCCACTTCGTGGTCTTCGAGTTCCCAGAAGTCCATTCCTGGGCATGATTCTGAATGCCTGGAGCCAACTGTAGGCCACTTCGTGGTCTTCGAGTTCCCAGAACTCCACTCCTGGGCATGATTTTGAATGCCCGGAGCCAACTGTAGGCCACTTCGTGGTCTTCGAGTTCCCAGAACTCCATTCCGGGGCCGCATTTTGAATGCTGATGCAGGCTGAGGCTGAGGCTGAGGCAGGCTGAGGCTGAGGCAGGCTGAGGCTGAGGCCGAGGCTGAAGGCAGACTGAGGCTCAGGCTGAAGCAGGCTGAGGCTGAGGCTGAGGCAGGCTGAGGCTGAGGCTGAGGCAGGCTGATGCTGAGGCAGGCTGAGGCTGAGGCTGAGGCTGATGCAGGCTGAGGCTGAGGCAGGCTGAGGCTGAGGCCGAGGCTGAAGGCAGACTGAGGCTGAGGCTGAAGCAGGCTGAGGCTGAGGCTGAGGCAGGCTGAGGCTGAGGCTGAGGCAGGCTGATGCTGAGGCAGGCTGAGGCTGAGGCTGAGGCTGATGCAGGCTGAGGCTGAGGCAGGCTGAGGCTGAGGCCGAGGCTGAAGGCAGACTGAGGCTGAGGCTGAAGCAGGCTGAGGCTGAGGCTGAGGCTGAGGCTGAGCTGAGGCAGGCTGAGGCTGAGGCTGAGGCTGAGGCAGGCTGAGGCTGAGGCTGAGGCTGAGGCTGAGGCTGAGGCTGAGGCTGAGGCTGAGGCTGAAGGCTGAAGGCAGACTGAGGCTGAGGCTGAAGCAGGCTGAGGCTGAGGCTGAGGCAGGCTGAGGCTGAGGCTGAGGCTGAGGCAGGCTGATGCTGAGGCAGGCTGAGGCTGAGGCTGTGACTGCGACTGCCGTTGCCACTGCGACTGTCATCGCGAATGCGACTGCGACTGCGAGAACAGCAGAATTCTACAACTGGATTCTCATCTGAATCTTAAGGGGAATGCTTCGAGAGATGTTTCTACACATCGCTGTTAGGTTGCTTTGCCGGGATAATTTGTTATTTTTTTCTACGGCTCTGTAAAGGACAGGCATCAGAGTTAGATTGTGTATGAGTTCGGGGTAAGAGGTTTCAGAACCATCAGAGATATGTTCAGGATGTGTTTGAATGGTATTGAACTACCCGTAACAACTATGGCTCAAGCCATTGGTTCGAAAGCTAACGCTGGAAAACTAACTGGCACCCCCCCCCTGGCAACCCCCCCCCCGGGCAACCCCCCCCCCGGCACCCCCCCCCCGGCAACCCTCCCCAAGCCCCCCCCCCACCCCCGGGGCCATCCAGGCAACCCCCCCCCCCGCACCTCCCCCTGGCACCCCACCACCCCGGCACCCTCCCCAGGACCTCCCCCGGCTCCCCCCCCCTGGCACCCCCCCCAGCACCCTTCCCCCCAGCACCCCCCCCGGGGCACCCCCCTTCCCGGCACCCCCCACCCCCCCGGCAACCCCCCCCCCGCACACCCCCCCTGGCACCCCCCCCCCGCACCCCCCCCTGGCACCCCTCCCTCGCCCTCCCCTTCCCCCCCC